ATTGACACGCTTTGGTATACTTTGACACACTCTTTTCCGAATCATTCCCGGTAAGGTAAAAGAGCGTTCGTGATCGTTTAAAAGCTGCTTAATTGTTTTCCATGAAGAGCAAGACAATCTAGAACTTACTTCAGAACATTTTGACTGTTTTCAGATAGATTCAAATATGTCTTCTTCAAACTCTTTTCGCCATGTAAATATAGTCAGGAAAAACTATAAATGATGCCTTGAAGTACCTCGCTGCTGCTTGTTTCGTCAATTAGATGGAACTCTAGCCTACTTCTCTATTCTAGGCAAGTTCAATCTGTTCAGTAATAATAGAATGACGCTATCATGATAACAATGTTCATTTTTGATGCTTTTCAATCCAAAATGGGGCCACTGTTGAGTGAAATCAGATCAAACTTACATTGCTAGGTAAGGCAACTCACACTCTTGGTTAAACCTGTTAAACATGTAAATGACATGGCAAATTTTTGAAACATGGCAGAAAGGTTGACACTCCTTTTCTGAAGTTGAGACCAAATATGGTAGAGTGAAAAAAGCTACATCCTTTTGAAAAAAAATGGGTCCAAATAACGGAAAAGTACCACAATGTTTTAATCTTAAAGCTTGTCACAAAGGCTCGAACAAATCCGAATAATATCATTAATGTTGCAGATAACGACTTGACTTGATGGTTGCCACAAGTACAGCACTAATATGAAGCACATTTCCTAGCAAAGCCCTTATTTTTTTAGGTGAGATTACAAAAAAACGAAGATTGACTACTATCCCTTCAGCGCTATTCATTACGAGAGTTTTCTTTGGTAAGTTTCAGGATCGCATAACGTATAACTGATCGAACACAACGAACTTTCCAGATTCTCGGGGCTGCGATCTAGATCATTGTTACCACGAATATAAGTGAATGAGCGAGTTCACAAGTATGGAGATTTATGAAATTTGAGATACAATGCACATTCAAGAGTAGAAATGCAGTGAACTGCATCTTGTTATCGCAAAAAAAAAGAATCCGTTGAAAAGAGGAAAAAAACTTGCATTGAATGGTACCTGCACTGTTCAGCTTTTGGATAAATCAAGCTGGTAGCGCTACTTTATACTGTTTACTGGCTGGCTTACCCGGCTCCGCCGTATGTTCCGAATAGAAAATTCCATTTCTGAACCGATCGGGACCAAACTTGGTACACATACACTTCGGGCTCCGGCGGGTGTCATAGGCTACTTTTCGTCATCGATCGATATCGATTTTAACGATTTTTTGCAAAATTTGAGCTAAGGGGCTGGAATTTGGCAGAGGGGTGTAATCGAGCATGCCGATCACCCCGTGGGGGTGATCAGCATGCTCGATTACAAATTCCAGCCCCTTAGCTCAAATTTTGCAAAAAATCGTTAAAATCGATATCGATCGATGACGAAAAGTAGCCTATGACACCCGCCGAGGCCCGAAGTGTATGTGTACCAAGTTTGGTCCCGATCGGTTCAGAAATGGAATTTTCTATTCGGAACATACGTACAGACAGACAGACATACATACAGACATACAGACATATAAACAGACATTCAGCTTTATATATAAGATTAGATAGTAGCGGAGCAGCCGCTGACTATCAACAGTGAATATGCGGAACAGCCCTGATAGTGGTATTATCCAAACCAAAATCAGAACTGAGTATTCAGGCTTTTTATGCCGCTGTTTTGAGAGTGGATAACTTGAATGCTCATTTATGGCAAACAACAATTTCATAGAGAATCAAGCATTGGCTGCATGAAACTAGGCGCCGCCAAGTAGAGTATCAAGCACAGTGAAGGGGTGAGCAGGCAGCTCAAAGGCAGCGTCCAGGCAGATTTGGACATCATATAATAGGATACTATCATAACCGCGTACTAGGGCCTTGATCTAGAACTACCGCACAGTTCCGACCTTTGTACACCCCCTGTGAAAGGAGAAAATAGGCACAGAAAACGCAGATCGAGGACCACGCTCACTCCCTCGCACGCCCCCCCCCCTTCTTGAACGAACTCTTCTCAGCCCTTGACGCGTTTTCACGTGGCAAACACAATGGAGCACATAGCGTCTACTATACTTAGGGCAATTCGAAATTTTTTTTTGAATATTCTTAACATCGAGTGATATTTGAAAATACGAGTATCGAATAATATTCGGAAACTGAAATTTAGAATAGTCGACTATGAAAATTATTCGAAATTGGAAGTCTTTGAATCGAATAATATTCGAATATTGATTATCATCCGTCATTGGAATTTCGAATACTACTCGGTTCTCGATATTGTACGTTTTTCGAATATTATTCGATTTTTGAAAACTTTTCTAATAATCTATGTCAGTGAGGCTGCTTATAAGAATAATTAGTTTTTATGTAAGAATCAAAAATAAATACTTCTAAATGTCACAGCTTAAGAGAAAAACGTTTAGTTGTGACGTGTAGAGACTCAAAAACCTAAAAGCTCTGCACCGGTTGTGAAGATTTTTCGAACTTTGGAGAAGTTTATATTCCCATTGAGTTGTTACAGGGGTCCCAACAAGGTAGATCTTTCGGCTGATCTCAGCTTAGACTTACTATAATGCGATTTATCAATCCTTTTCAATGTTCAAATTACCGTAGGAAAACTGAAGAGGGATCTGACAAGGTAAGGATACTTGGTCGAAGTGACGTTTCCATATGAGATGTATATTACTTTGTAGGGCATTGAACGCTGATTCCAGATCTGCTTTCGGTACCTGCAAAGCGCTTCTGGGAGGGGAATTATGGGAATTTTTTGAGGTAGAAATACAATGATTTGGCTAAGATAAAAATAGATGTTGAGGTCTTTTCGGCGCTTAAAAAGAGTAATGACTGACATGGGTTTATTAGATTGAAGCCCTTGTTCCATAAAACGCCATGGTAGTAATCATGGCCCTGTTTGAACTCAAGGACTAACGTTCCGAATGGTTTTATTGTAGCGGCGCTTTCAAATTTTTACATCAAAAATTTCCATAACTTTCCTCCCTGAAGCGCTTTGCAGATACCGAAAATAGGTTTGAATTCACCGTTTCATGCTCTATAAAACAGTGTACATTTTGCATAGAAACTCCACTTCGATCAAGTATCCATTCCTCATGAGACACGAGAGCCGTTTGCCCAAGTATGGGAATCAAAAAGGCCGAAATGCTTACATTAAACTTCTAAAAACACTCAATGTATGTAGGATTTGCACTCATCTGTAATGCCTTTTTTTACAGTTTATGCCAGGCACACTGTAACCAGTGTTTTTCAACGCTTTTTAAGAACGTGATTATTCATTTGTAAAGCTTAATAAGTCGTGTATAGTAAAAGTAGCATACGTGAAAACTCCGCTACACAGATTTTAGATCTTTCTTTTGAGGATAATCTTTTGGATGTCTTATTTCGCAGTATTTCTGTGCTGGAACTTCCTACCGTAATAACACAGTAAGAAAAACATGGGTGAATCGCTTTCTACAGTATTTGTAAGCTTGAAGCCGTCCCAACAGGATGTTACTCAAAAGTTGGCAAAAGACTTCGTGAGAGGTATTAGCTATCAAACTGTGGGTAGATACTCTTGGGACTTCCCGTTTATGTCGCGGATTTCGAACTTCCGAACACTCTATAGTGTCTATCTGTTAATGCTTGCTTTCGACAAGGATTGCATTAGAAGCACTCCACGCTTACAGAATTGTCTCCAAGATGGGGTTTTTCAAAAAATTCAGGCGTTTTGACTGTCATATTTGGAAACAGCGCCATGAAAAGTCCTGGATAAGGCAAAAAATTAGAAGTCGAGATTTGGCCGAATGCTGCCTCTATGTGGTCAGTGAACAGTAACTTTAGTCAAAGAAAAAAAATACAAAAAATTACATATAACGAAATATAACATACATGATTGATCTACTACAGTAGGTTATGAATTATCTAGATGATCTACGACACGGCCAAAAAAATAACATGATAACACTTCTTCAAAACTCAAGTTTTGAAGATCCCCATTCGTATGGAAAGTTCACTTTAAGTAGAGTAATACAGATTATCTCAACTGCATGCCGGGTGCACCAGCAGCTCCGTCGCCTTGCGTTGACCCTGCGCCGCATCTTGCATTGTCCGGTCCTTTGCCAAGCCCCAATCATGGCGCCTACGCAAACATGTAGTTCTAGCCATTTCACTCCTCTTAGTTCTAGGAAAGTCTCGTCATAATTTCATTATAAAGTGTCATGCTGGGAATTAGCACTACAGTTGGAGTGGGAACTGCATTTGTGTCTAAATGCTAACCTCAAATACCACTACAGGCATAATCATTTTTAAATCATAAGTGGGTTCCAAAAGCTTCTTTTGGAAGTGAACTGTAGTGCTCATTAGCAGTTGATACTTCATAAAGAACTTATGACGAGATTTTCTGAAAGCTAAGAGCGCTTAAAACGTAAAACGAAATAAAATATTTGAAAAAATTCATGTTTGTATCAGCGTCATCGACTGAGGCTTGACAAAAACCCGAACGATGCGAAGCAGATGCGGCGCAGGGTCCAAGCAAGGCGGTCACGCGGTAGCCCAAGCTGCTGGAGCATCCAACAGTGAACTAATTGTAAGATAGCCCATAATTAGTCGCATACTGTGACGTTTTTATGCGAAAGCCATAAATCTGTTTGAAGAATGAAAAAATCAATTCCTTGATAATCGAATAGGCAGAGCTTTTTTTGAAGACGAAGCGCTATCCCCACAATACCATGCCTCACTGAATCTCTAAAATTTCAAAGTTTCTCTTGCCGATTTACTAGTCACATCATATTTCCCACAAAAAGCAAAAAATATTCTTTCGGCTCCCGCGGTATAACGGTATAAGACTTAATCACCACGATGGCAGGCTTTGGATGCATATGTGATATGTGTATGTATACATCATTTCGTTATGAAGACATCCGAGTTGCAGAGAACGAAGGACTCATTACCATTTACATGCTTGAAAGAAGCATACATGAAAATTTACTGATAGTCCATCAGATTATTAGTTTTCCTTTCAATTTTTAATTTGTTCATTTAATGTTTCTATCATCTTCATTATTTTGCTGTAATATTTCCAGCTTGCGACTTCTTTGTGGGTTTTCCTGCCGAACTTTGTTTCTCCTTAGCACCTTTCTTCCAAAATGATTTCTTCGTCTGTTGCATGTTTGTTGTTGAACTTGTTGTTGCAGTCCCTGTTTGTCCTTTTTTTTGCATTGCTGCTTTTGGTACCTTGTGGTGTTTCTTCATGATTGCGTAAACAACAATGACCGGGAGCACAAGACATACGAGTACGACTATGCCTATGCAGATGGCGCCATAAATCAAGCTGAAAGTGAGATTTTTTTATAATGGTTTGACTTCGGTAATTACTTTATTTTTTCTTAATTATTTATGGGAAAGGTATCGTACATGCACAACATGCAACTTTTGTCATTTTCCGCCATTTCAAACAAAAGGCGATCGTTTGTAGCAACTTTCGAAAAGTATAAACTTTGCTCTTGACAGCAGCCTTGGACTTTCAAAAACTTACAATTTAGTTAAAGTTCCACGCTTTTTAGGCTTTTTAGGCTTTGAGCCACCCTCTACTGAAGCATCAGGCTCGGGAGCCACGATTGGAGGCTCATCGGTAGTTCCACTCGCAATTTCTACAAACATGCGCTGTTGCTGTATGATTGACTCTATGATAATACTAAGACTCTCACCGGACTTATCTGTTAAGGGTGCATCTGTTTCTTCCACTATCGTTTTTGACGCTACTGCAACGTGAACAATTTACTTTCAGAATTTCCATGATTCAGCCGTTTTGTTCATTCAAACAACTTACAGCGCCTGGTTGGGTATGGCTCTAGATGTTTTACGAAGGTTGAGAACGCATGGAGTTTTTCATGAGGTAAAATGATAAACTTCTATACTGTTTCTTTCATATTAAATGTGTCAAATCGTAAAGACGTACCGATTTTTTGCCATTACCAAGCAGCCAAAGCAAAGCAAACTATTAGGTTGGAAGGAAAAGTAAGTCGCTTTTTTTGGATTTTTCAGCTGTATTTTATACTAGTTGGCTTACCCGGCTCCGCCGTATCCGGACCAAACTTGGCACACATACACTTCGGGCCCCGGCGGGTGTCACAGTCCACTTTTCGTTATCGATCGATGTCGATTTTACCGATTTTTATCGATTTTTTTGCAGAGTTCACCTACAGGGCTAGGATTTGGCACAGGGGGGGGGGAAGTGAGCATGGGGATTCCGAATACAATATTAGTTTTCAGAATTATCGATTACTTTTATTGGTTTTATCGATTTTTTGTAAATTTTGACATGCGAGGCTGGGATTTTGCACAGGGGGTAATCGAGCATGCTGATTACGAACACAATATTAGTTTTCAGGATCGTCCATACTTTTGTCGATTTTATCGATTTTTTTGTAAAGTTTGACCTGCGCGGCTGGGAGTTTGCACAGGGGGTAATCGAGCATGCAGATTACGAATACAATATTAGTTTTCAAGATCGTCCATTACTTTTATCGATAAAATCGATGAAAGTAATCGATAATTCTGAAAACTAATATTGTTTTTGGAATTGTCATGTCCACTTACCCCTGTGCCGGCTTCCAGCCCGTAGGTGAACTTTGCAAAAAAAAGTCGGTAAAAATCGATAAAATCAATGTCGATCGATGACGAAAAGCCTGTGACACGCTCCCCGCCCCGAAGTATAGTAAGCCAAGTTTGGTCCAAATCGGTTCAGAAATAAAAATTTCTATTCCGCACATACGTACAGACAGACATACAGACACTCATTCAGCTTTATATTAGGTTGGTCCGGTCCGTTCTGTCCCACCATTTTCAAAAAATCGTAACTTCTTCTAATGACGATGTTTTTGCATGGATAGAACCATAGTGAAAAGAGCAATTCGGGCACATTTTAAAACTACGTTGGCTGCTATTTAATAAGCTCTGAATGGAGAGATAAAATTGGGGAAAGGAAATCACTTCAATTTCGGAATTTTTGAGCAAGCCCGTAAAAAATTCAAAAGTGTGCCATATAATCCAAAACAGCCAGTAGCCTAGGTTTTCTGATCCCCTCTTTCTATATGACAAAATTCGCGCTGATGGAGCTTCTCCTAGAAAAAATATGATTCTCAAGAAAAAATGCCAAAAAATCAGTTTCTTAAGAAAATTGATTTTTTGACATTTTTTAAAAAAATCATAGCTTTTCGGGAAACAACTCAATCAACGCGAACTTTGCTCAGCCAGAAAGAGGGGGTGAAATAGTCTAGGATACTAGCTGCTTCGGATTTTCTGACACAGTTTTGGAATTTAAAGATCTTGCCTCAAAATTCCGAAATTGAAGTGATTTCCTTTTCCCAATTTTATCTCTGCATTCAGAGCTTAATGGATAGCAGCCAACGTAGTCTTGAAAAGTGCATAAATTGCTGTTTTCAATGTGGTTTTACTCTTGCAAAAACATTGTGTTAAAAAAAGTTACGATTTTTTGAAAATGGTGGGACAGAACTTTCGGACCAACCTAATAAACTGTGGTTCATAATTATACGAACACCCCAAATTTTAGAAATTTCGGGACTTTTTGACAGGAACTCAAAAAGCCGTTGGTACCACGCGAAAGAGAACAACCGAGAACGGTATATGATCCATAAGAATGAAAGTGGATGTCAATTTTAGGAGTGTTTGAGCGCTTAGTGCGGATTTTTAGCGGTTCATAATTATACGAACACCTCAAACAAAGGTCAATTTTTTATTCAAGGTTGCAGTCATTTGAGCCCAAATTTTTTGTAAAGCTACAGTAACAAAGTCTGACGTGTCTGACACACACTGAACCCAGTGCAGTTCAAAAAGAGGACAGTTACTTTTTTCAGAAGGCTCTAAATGCTTCTGAAGTGATTGCGCTCCAAAAACGTCCGTTCTTCTGCGGTTTACGCGCTCTAATTAGCTTCTACCAAAGCTATGGGATAAAATAAGTTCTTTTGATGGATATTTTGTCTGACGCTTAGAAAATCTTTGCGTTTTCGTGCCGTTTTTCAACCAAGTCCCAACCTTACCACGGAATTAGCACGATTTCGAGCCTCAAAACTCAGCTTCTGAAACCGTACAATGAAGTAAGCATATAGTATGTAGAAGTTCACAAGACTGTATATTTGGCTAGAGAAAATCAGCAGCGTTGAGCGTTTGTTTTGGCCACGCAGACGTCATTTCATCAAAAACACTGCTTTTACTATTGCAGTCACACCTTTATTTGGTTTGTAGCTCCACAGCCTCAAGATCTGTTCCACAAAAAACCCAAAAACTTTGGCACAGAAACATCATCATGTAAACAATGCAGCTGCTTCATATCAAATGTTTGCGCGAGAGAAAAGCTGAGTTTTGAGGCTCGAAATCGTGCTAACTCTGTGGTAAGGTTGGAACTTGGTTGAAAACCGGCACGAAAACGCAAAGGTTTTCTAAGCGTCAAACAAGATACCCATCGAAAGAGCTTATTTTGTCTCATAGCTTTGGTAGAAGCTTATTAGAGCGCGTAAACCGCACAAGAACGGAATGTTTTTGGTGCACAATCACTCCAGAAGCATTTAGAGCCTTCTGAAAAAAGTAACGGTCCTCCTTTTGAACTGCACTGGGTTCAGTGTGTAGCGGACACGTCAGACTTTGTTACTGTAGCTTTACAAAAAATTTGGATTCAAATGACTGCAATCTTGAATAAAAAATGGTCCTTTGTTTGAGGTGTTCGTATAATTATGAACCGCTAAAAATCCGCACTAGGCGCTCAAATACTCCTAAAATTGACATCCATTTCCATTCTTATGGATTATATACCGTTTTCGGCTGTGTTCTATCGCATGGTACCAACGGCTTTTTAAGTTTCTCCCAAAAAGTCCAAAAACTTACAAAATTTTGGGTGTTCGTATAATTATGAACCGCACTTTATAAGATGACATTTTTTTGCAACTTAATAGCAGCTTGAAGCAGTTTGGAAAATTTCCGATTTCTTATTTTTTTAGCAAAAAAACTTGAATGTCTCAGTGGAGGCATGAATTTTTTGACTGTTGGAAAAAACTCCTCCTGAACCTCAAGCAAGTTCTAGTGCTTGATCAGCGCAAAAAATTTTACGTTCCAGAATAGTCTTATTTCTGGTTTTTATTTCCATTCGAGTTGGCCTTTACTTCCAAAGGAATTTGGAACAATGTTCGTAATAATCGCATGGATGAAAGTCTTCCTCGTCAAGTATGTATTAGGTTGTGTAATAAGTTCGTTCGCATTTTTTGTTTCAATTTTTTCTCAGTATTTTACAAGACATTTGGCATAGTGTTAGTATGCATTCGGAAGCTCTAAGTCTACTCTACCAAAATATTATTATTATATTCCCAGTTTATAAAAAGTTGAATAGAAAAATCCACTGCAAACCGAAAAATCTGAAATGGCGAAAATCCCATTTTCGACAGCTATATTATGCCGCACCTTGAATGGGTTTGAGCGCTTGAGAAACAGCTCAAAAATTTTGCGACATGTATAAATAGAATACTATAGCTCCCGCCAACTACCTGTAGTGCTGAAAACCTTTCAAAAACAATTCATATTGTAAGCTCAAAAATAGGTATGTTTTTATGTTCTTTTGGTGTCAACGTTAAGCATCTGAAGGCACCTCTGATGGTAGCCGAATAATCCAGGAATTGGCAGACATGTGATCTATGATCTCTAAATCATCGAATAAATGGCTTATTAAGTCAAAAATTCAGAATTCGAGGGACACATAGCCCACGGACGCGAGACAACGAACACCGCTGCGGCAAAGCCTTGCTACGCCGAGTTTTGCAAAAATTGCATTAAACGGTCGGTGAAAGGAAATGGACAATTGTAAATAGTATCAGTGAACGCTTAAATTGTTAGTCAGTTGTTTTTTCTCGTTGTCAAGCTTTTTGAATAAATTTCAACAAAGAATAACGGGAAGACTAAGGAAGAAAAAAGATGTCGAAAATGAAATTTCTGTCACTTCAGATTTTTCGGTTTGTAGTGGAATTTTTTGTTCAAATTTTCGTAAACTGAGGATATAAAGATGGTATTTTGGTAGAGCAAACTTAGAGCTTCCGAACACATACTAATACTATGCCAAATACTTTGCAGAATACTGAGAAAAAATCAAAACAAAGAATGCGAACGAACTTATTACACAACCTAATATATTCTTGCCAATGATCGTCCCTCTGTAAACGGTGAGTTTGAGGCTGTTATCTACGATTAGGTTGCGCCGGCTGCGCATCGCTACCGTCACTGACCCTCACAACTGGAGACTTCGATTAAGCGGTTTAGGATGTTTTTGGAAGAACAGCGGTTAAACGTGCTACTCTATCCGACAAAATTTCGCAGATGCTTTTCTAGGGGTGAAGCAACCAAGCTCATTTAATTTGTGAAATTTATGGATAATTTTATGGATTATTATTTGCGGTAATTACAATCTACAAAAAATATGAATTCTGCGTATTACAGAGCATGCAATTTTCAAAAATTATGTGTCTAGTTCGCAAACAGAATATATCCTCCGTGTTCCCCTCTCCCATCATCGGTCCACAGTTTCGGAATGCTTACAATACCGAATCCTAACGAACATTTCTTTGCATCTGAATTTTAATCCGGCATCATGAAATTCTTTTTTTTTCTCTAAATATGTAATGACTTGCTCAATCGTTTGAATGACGCAACCATCCAACATGCATCACAAACTTTTTAATAATAATTCTTTTTCTTGAGGATGAAGGGGTGTAGAGAAATTCAGATGCTATGATTAGTCAGCTTTGCAAATGACTCAGTTTGCCCATTGCAATCAATTTTGGCAGTGTCAGCGAGAGTTTTGTTATTCAGTCTCTCACTTTGAAAAATATCTGAGGAAAAGTTTTCACACAGATCATTTCTATCAAATTATATGACTAACGGTAAAATTTTATTTTTGAAAATCTTGGAATAATTTCTCAAAAATTCACTGCATAAACCTTCTCAATCGGAAAAAATGCATCAGGCCTGCAGCGGGATCACCTATCTCTCAACGCTCTTGCAATACATTTGATTTATCCTTATCAGAACGCGATAAGTCCACATAGATCACATAAGGGTCGCTCAAATTTGTAATTTTTCAATGCTTCAGTTTCTTCGAATGCGTTGGACATGAAAAAGTATGCGTTCTAACATGTGAGACTAAGACAAGCAATTGATGCTTTCTGAGATTTTGAAAAAAGTGCAAAAGTAGCACTTAGTACGTACTATCCGCACATGTGCGCAGCGCCATCTGAACGAACAGCGCAAGATGCGGTGTCTTCTGCCGACAGATTTTGGTACATGACAAAAGTCTTAGTTTTCAGTTTGCTTGTTGTGGGTTGTCTTTTGCTGTTGGTCGTATTAGCTCAACCAAGTAAAATTGATTCTATTCGATACGTACGCATTTACCCTTTAATTCAGCTGGATGCGGTTGAAAGGCGGTTCTTCGTGAACTAATTTGGGTTAGAAATTGATTAGTGAACACGCTTAAGAGGGAAACGCAGACAGCGTCGCTGCGCAAGCGGTCGCCTTCCAACCGCCAATCCTGGAATCAAAGGGTAGGCGTCAAGGGTTTCTGGTGAATGTCAAGCTTTCTGGTAAATGTCAAGTTTCTGACAATGAGATGAAGAGAGTGGCTTGGCAAAACTGAACAATCAGGAATTTTGATCGCAGCTTGTTGTATCTCCCACGAAGGAGAAAATACGTTTGGTCGCACAGCATACTCCCCTTGCCGAGAAAAATGCCCTAAACCTGTGTGCGCAATCACTTTAAACGTGTTTGGACGAGTTCGACGTTCCCCTTCTGCAGCTGGAGGAATAAAAGGAAAGCTCTCATCCTTCCTCCTGCCACAACCACAATCTCATGACTATAAGGGTTTTGCAACAACACTGAGTTTCCAATCTTGGCAAAACTGTTCTATTTTTATGAAGACTCTTAACAAATACTCGTTCTCGCCACTTTAAAGCTCACTAAGGTAGAGGTGTTAACGCATAGTATAAGCCCAGACAAGCAAAAAATTCCAAGTAGAGGTATGCCGATCCACTGTCTATGAGACGAAATAATACTGAGAAATTACATGGTGTTCCTGCAGTCTGCGAGGGTGATGTAGCCGCTTCTGACTTCACTACAAATTTAGGCGTAGACCGTGTATCCGAGGGTAGCGAAAGACTCTTCGTTGTTCTCTTTGATGCAGTAGTCTTGATAGTCTTGACCTAAAAAATTTGAAAATTTATCCAACTAATAACTGCAGCAAGATAGAAAGCACTGCGACTGAGAAAAGATTCAAGCCATGATGGAAATTCAGCGCTATCGTGTAATTACTCATCAATTTTAGGTGGACAAAGTAGATGTTCGAACTCAACTTGGAATCTTGTAACGTTGACTTAATCTAAGATTTTAATTTCACAATTTCGGCCAACATTCTTTCAAATTTCTGCAGACGGTCCGCAACAAATCAGCGATTTATTTTTCCGGTGCCTGCTTGCCCATAAATCGCATGGCCGCCTGCCCCCCGCGATTATCTGAGCGTTCCACCATGCGAATGAGTGTCAGTCTCATGGTCAGCACTTCAAATAATTCCCTAAACCAAGTTTTAGTTAAATGATGATCTAGATTTTATTTCCTTTGTGTTACAGCGTATTTCTTATATACGACAATAGCGATGGATAGCAGAAATTGGCAGAAATGGCCGCTCACAATATCTCAGAAACCTACATAGTGACACAAATTGAATGCTTCGCTGAACTTAACTCCAGTCTAGCAGCGTTTCAGCTCCCTTCTGTGCTTCAAAGCTGACTGTTCGAGCCTGATCTTGCCTTTTTTCCATCGCAGTAATTTTTCGATAGGCTTTCTTTTCCTGTATATAGTTCTCGAAAGTATGTAACTCTTTCATCGATGATCTCTCTTCCCACGAAAACTTTTACCCATATTCAGATACCATTATTCTTCAAAGCTAATTCTAGCTTGTTAGATTAACATCATAAAGCACTTCACATATTGCCTTTCAAAAAGCAGATTACAGTATTTTTCGGCGTACATTGCAATTCTACAACAAGCAATTTTTACAAAAAGCCAAAATGTTTGGAATGTAACAGTGTCGTAGCGCATGCTGATACCACCACGCAAGAATTTCAACTTTCAGGTTATATAAATGGTGTAGTCGACTGCCGACGACGATCGAATCTTTGGACCGAACGCGCAAGCGTGAGGCGAGCATTTCCTTTATGTAGAATTTATGCGGGCAATTGCACCAGTGCCTCTCTCTTTCCCTTTCCTTTGGCTGCGAAGTTGCATTTGTCTTCCTTCCTGACTGTCCTTCTTTGCAACACGCATTTCCCTGACCTCAAATTTAGCGTTTAACCGCACCAGTTTACAGATCATGAGAAGATGAATTGATAAAAATGGATAAACTTCCACGTTTCCAGATATAAGTCAACAAGGTGGCAGAGCGAACCAAACAAGCAGCTAAAATATCTCGGGGTCGACAAGATGTTTGTGCAAAGTTTAGCGATCATTTCCCTTGCAAGACTTCTTTTTGGAACAAACCTAGTTCTAAGCTACGTTCAAACTTCGAGTCCATATATGCATAGACTCTCATCGTAGACAACGAGTAGTTCTGATATTATAGAACATCGCCAATGATTTCTTCTGACTACATTTCTCATGTCTTTGGGGGGGGGGGGGGTAGAATCAATCATCTTGAGCAAGTCTGATTTGAAAAAAAAATCTTTTAGAAAGGTATCAAAACTTTCAATACTACGAGCATATCAAGATAATCATTATTGTCGCTGTTGTTTTGCAGTGACTCTTGAAAATTAGTTAATTGGTGTCCTTTTGTGTGCGCGTTTTCAAAGTCTCTGTTTATTTCCCGTCTTGTACTCATATTTAAGACGAATTTTGAGCAGTAGAAATCGAATTTTATGTTGGCACCTCAAACGTATAATATGATGACGTAGTGCATAACATGACAAAAACTTAATAGCAAGTGCGAAAGCAAAAAATTACCGATTTTAGTTCTTTTGTTGTAAGTACATTCGACGATGCTGTTGCAACCAAGTTCGCTTCTGAATCATACGATAACTTTCAACAAGTACAATAGTGAAAGGAGGTTTTTGAGTATAAAATTTGCATTTCACTCTCACTATGTGTACTGGTCTACTGGGTAGAGGCGGCTTTTTTCCCAAAATTCAAACGAACTCACTTTTTCTAAGATATTCAGCCACACAGTTTTTTTGCTCTATGTTCGCATTTTTCGATGCTAACCAGTACTTCTGAATCAAAGTAATCAAACCTGCTAATTGCTGAAATCCACGACTGATATCGGATGTTTGCATGACACCCTAATAATCAAACTGCTGCGTATTTTACTCATTTTTGAGCTGTTTTGTGAGTACACTATGGTTGGTTGCCTCAATGTGACGTGGGGGTGACGTTGGGTGTTGTCGAATTTTAATGTACAGCTGACTGTACACTCTGGTAGGGCCTCTCCCAAGCTATGAAGTTGGACATTTTCGGCTTCGGTAGGATGCTTAGTTTGGAGCCGAGTAGCCGATCTACGGCCATCTAGCTTTCTTATCGCTAGACGGTCCCCGCTCACACCTAGGGTTAGCCATCGCTTTGTGGAAATCAAAAGTAGGCCTAGGCGTTACTAAAGAGTAATTTTCGTAATCCTTTAGCAAGAAGAAGAGGAATAAGCCTTGCACATCGGATCCCGCCTAAGGCGCCGGGTGGTAACAAGAACGATGTCAACGTGCGTCCTCAGGGTGCCATTAGGATGGGACTAAAACGACACGTCTGCCCTATATGCCTTTTTCGACTTCGAAAGTTTTGGGCTTTCGAACGAAAACGGCAACCGTCTCGTTGGCCTTTTTTTCAAAGCCCAATTCCATGGAGCTTCCCATTATCATAAAGATAGAACAACGCCAGTGGACATGTGAATCGCGCAACGGAACGACACATGCGAAGATCGACCACGTAGAGCTTTCCCAACGTCTCAGTGATTCAATCCATCTGCGGTGGTTCCGATCGCAGCCTCCTTCGAGAAAGGTACGAATAATTTGAAAACTGCCAAAGAAGATCTACCACAGTGAGGCAAGAAGGAAAAAAGTCGTTTATAACGGCAACAGATTAGAAGAGCTCTTATCAATAGCGACTGGCCGAGGAAGGCCAAACTTACGTTTGCGACCATTTCTGAAAGGATTGCCAGCCTGCGGAGAGTGCGCCACAGTAACTTCTGAGATTAGCTTGAAACGTATTTTGAAGACCACCAAGGAATTACTGGAAAGAACAAGATCTACGAGGCAGGATTCGAATGCAACCCTTAGCTGATAGCCAATGTCATTGCAGAACAGCTTTGCAGGTGGATCTTAGGAAATACAGCTAAGCCAAGATACCGGAAGCAGCCGAAGGAAAACAAAGTTTTAGCCTTGAGCATTCTCTGCGCGATTCCGGTCGCTGCTTTGGCACAACAGCGATTCTTCGTAATTCGTCGTTAATGCGCTGCCTTCGGTCAGAACTTGCTCCGTTTGCAACGACCATCAGAATTGGACGAGTGGAGCAAGGCCAATGCCATGCCGCTGAATCGTTGCGGGACCCAATGATTATAGCATTGCGGCGGCCAGCCTCCATTGGTGAGAAGGAAGTTGCCAACTCGTCCGGGTGTGTGTAAGATTGGCTTGCGCGTGTAAATTTGAGAGCGATTCCCTCGACAGGGAAGGCATGCCGTGCAACCGAGATTGCACTGTTTTCATACTTGGACGATAAGGAACCTACTGCGGTTAAGGCCCTGGGTTGTCAAGTTTTGCCGATCCACTGCCTTTAAAAGCGCCAAAAGGAAATCTTTGAAAATTACGTAACGCTGGGTTCATTTATTGAACGAAAACGGGACCCCGACTTCTTACCGATATGAAATAAAGTCTATCACAAAAAACGTTTACATCAGTCCTTCCGCTCATCAATACCCGCCGGTGTGTTGTTTTGTTCCCATTGGAGATTACGGGAAAAGCATACATGTTGATGGGAGATTCCTCGCGAACTTCGTTCTGCGGACAACATCATTCTGTTTTCGAGCAATATCACTGAAGCGGAGACGATGCTAAAGAAACCAAACAAACGGAAGAAGCTCGGGTTGCAAAAAATTCGGAAGACTCAATACATGAAGAAACCCTTAGCGAAGATGCAGAAATGGAACTGGCAGGGGCCTTATTATGGAGACGTCCTTTTGTGTACCTTAGCGTTCGATGAACATGGAGAACAATTTGACGGAAGAAGACAGGATAAGAAAAGCAGCCTGGGCCGCCTTCGGACCTCTAAAGGAAGCCACCGCCCAATTATCAGACCCGGAGCTTCGCGTGTTCCACCGAAAATCTCTAGAAATCACTAAGCACACCCTTCACTCAGGCACTTTTTTGGACGGATTTCAGACATGCTATATATTTTCTGAAAGCGGAGGACGAGGCGAGTTCGATGGTGGCTATTTTCTTGTACAAGTTGTTCCACCTGTTCAATTCAACCTTCTCCCTGCGCTCTGCTACGCAGCTGAGACTTAAAGGCACCGTCCACCCAAAATTTCAACCTCCATGTTTTGCCGCTCCAGGGCCTTCTCATACCCCTGATTCCAAATATTAAGTTGAAAATCCGCGAAAACCACGAAAAACCCCCGTTTTCAGAACCCGCAGAGCGATTTCTTCGGTACGGTGATTGATTGGGCGCGCACGGACGGGCGAGACGAACGTCACGCCCACTCCGAAAGGGGAGGAGCCAGCGTCGCGAACGCGGCCTGAAGTGATTTCCGAAGCAATTTTCTCGGTTCGGAAGCAACTTCAGGCAGCGCGTGTTGGGCAATCATACAGTTGGGGGCCCTGCACCTGCTAGGTATCATAATCTCACCAACCCCAATTTGAGTGGACGGTGCCTTTAAAGGCAGTACATCGGCAGAATGAGACCCGTAACAAAACAAGACAGGGTAGGAGCCCCCATATGGAACCTATTGGCCAAAGTCCGATGTTTCTCTGCCACTTCTAACCACCGAAATTTCAAAGCGAAAGCAGCGCTCATCTCCTGTCCTCTCCGAACCCGCCCATCCCATGGACTAGTGAACGCGGAGCCCGTCATGGCGAAGACGCAGAGTCGTTGCGGGACCTCACGCTTATAGCATTGCGGCTGGCGCTCTGACCGCGGAAGTCACTCGTTTATGGGGTGGGCGGGTTCGGAGAGGACAGGAGATGAGCGCTGCTTTCGCTTTGAAATTTCGGGGGTTAGAAGTGGCAGAGAAAGATCGGACTTTGGCCGATAGGTTCCATATGGGGGCTCCTACCCTGTGACTTTGTTTGGTCACGGGTCTCATTCTGCCGATGTACTGCCTTTAAGCTGACACTATAGCTACGTCGAAAGCTCTGCGGATCACTTACAAAGCGCTTGAACGCAGTCTGAAAATGACACGACAAAACAATGTCTTGTCATACTTCGCAGTACGGTTATGATACGAATGTCTCGCCTTTGTGACTCAGCCAACTGCGCTGCAAAAGCAAAAAATCGGTGGGTCTTTCGCATTATAAGAAGAATAGGCGACAAATGGACATAAGAACATCAGAGTGGGTTCCTCGCGAAGCAAAAGTTTTTGAAGAAGACCACCATCGAGATGGGCAGACTTGTTCGTGAACCGGATGGACCAGCCGAGAAATCAGCTGGATACGATCATCGCACCTGCAACTCGCGAACGTAGCCACCGACATCAACCCAGAAGATTGCGGGTACCTGAAGCGAAGAACAAGGACAACTAGAGACATTTGTTGTAAAGCCCGCACGCCACGCGAAGACGGGCCATCTAAGTATCTAAGTAAGTAAGTTTGTAATCAGTACAAAACACAGCAAGTCCTTTGACAGGCTTGCAAATCATCATACAGATTCATACAAAAGATCAGCATTTGTTGTAGTTCGGTGTAAGCAATACGCTACCAGTCTTCTCAAACACAAATTTGGTGCTTTGCTCTCTGACGTAGCGCAAAAACTTGACTGTGCCAATCATTTTCTTGCTTCAAAATTCAAAATTTTCAATACGAAACCAGAGATCTCAATGGACCCCAGTCGCTTATCTACAGTGTGTCCAAGAAATGAACACACATAAATGTAGAATACTTGGCTGCTATAATTCTCTCGCCTGTGCACACTTTAAATAAGGTGTTGTGCCGCTACGTTTGACTTGAAACTCTCAAATGCCTACCAGCATTAATTCGAAATTTCCATTACACCTATCGGTGTTGCAGGCGCATAAAGCTCTACGTCCTGTCCAGCATCTGTTGACTGACTGAAAGCAAATGCTTACGGGAGTGTTGGGAAATCTGCACTCCTGACTTTGCCGAGTGCAGACACGTAAAAGTTCTTCTTAGTTGCAGGCAAAGTTTTGAAATCACATGGAGCATTCGTTTCATAGATGCACATCTTCCTTTGCTGTAAATAGAGTGCAATTGCATCTAGCCCTTATCTCCTCTGTTATGTCTCCAAAGTAAATTAATGCATTTTTTGTTTAAAACGTTGGAGCAACCGAAGGAAGTTGGGTGATTTGAAAACAAGAAAGTTAAAGAGTCTAGTACGCAATTGGTAAACTTTGAAGCACTGTTGAACTGTAACATGTTAGTAGATCAAGATTAACTGGTTGAAGGCAACTTCTAGGCAAATTTGTACGGTTGGATTTGACATTGAGCAGGGACATAACAAAGGCATTGCCCAAGCGGCAGTGTTGATAATGCGCTTGTGGCTAAGATATTCATCTCCAAACCAGACTTTAGATATTAATTTGGGAGGATCCTATATTGACTTGCAAACTTTTGATGCGGACCACGCCATCTTGATGGGTCTCTGCGCAAAATTCTACAAGCCGATGCAACTCGTCCGCCACATGTAGCAGATGCCAGGATATCACTTTGAAGACAGCGAGGACAGAACTGAGTGGCTCAAATTTTGCTACGCCTTGCGTCAGTCAGTCAATAAGCTAGTCTACCTTAGTTCCACTCTGCGGCAGTTTTTTCCACCAGATTAATTGTGGCCACAACCCTCAGCAAAGCCGAAGTCACTATTTAATGTGCCCTCTTATTAGTTTTGTTAATGAAGCATAAAAGGGTCCAGATTCGAATTTCAAGTGGTCACCGGTTTGCTTCATGTAGCTCAGGCCTAAAGATGAGCTAAAAGGGCAATACTGGGCTAAATGAAGTAACCTAGCTGCGTGTTTTGGCTTAGCATCAAGCCGGATATTACTCTGTGCGGCCAAATTTGCACTTTGCACCACGATTTCTCAGCAAAATATTGGCCTTTGGTGGCTTATAGCTTCGCCTACAAAAGCGTTTAGCAGATAAGGAGGACAGACTTAGGAGGGAAGTTGTTTATTCGAAGTGGCCTTTTTAAATGAGGTGCATTCATAGTGAAGGGCATAAAATGCTGATTCCAAACTTACCTTCCTTATCTGCAGGACGTTTATAGACGAGGAGTTATAAGCTTTTTCAGCCAAAAATTGAATGTGCAATTTGGATAAAATGAGTTGCTAAAATCTCACTAGCCCTCAAGTAATGCAAAGAGTATTTCCTGAATAAAGTGCTCTGATGATCACTGCTCCATTGGAGAGCTAAAAATATTACAGCTATTTTTGTCCTACTTGCAAATTCAAATTCTCATTCCGGTAAGCGCTCATAACTCCTCACCCGTAAGCTTCTGCGAATAAGGAACGCAGATTCGGAATCAGCATTTTATGGCCCTCAATTGGTATACATCTACCTATATATATATAAAACTCAAAATTGTGAGTTTGGAGGCTATGTGCGCTATAGAAACGCGCACCGCTCAACCGATTCCGCTGAAACTTTGCACACATACGTTTTCAACCCCTGCGCAGATGATAGGCTACTTTTTGCGGCGATTCGTTGGGTCCTTCTATAGATTTATTGATTTGTTTACGCTTTTTTAAGGAACTGAAGGCTTATCATGTGGAATCAAGCACTTTCCCATAATCGTGAAAGGAGGGCGGTGAAGCTCATTTTCACCACAGGATCACGAGGATGTGGTTCAAAGCGGATGTCCCAGGGTAAGTCATCATAGGGGGGGGGGGGGGCTTGCAGTGCAGGTGAAGAAACAAGGCCCGGGCTGGACCGGGGGAAGCCAACTAGTTCCTTCTAAAAAGTCCCCTTCGACTTAACATGCTTTCCTTGTTAGAGTCAGCCAGCATTTCATGGTGCATCTAATGGGTGGTGTTCCCCCGTTAGCTCAAATCTTGCTAGCTCCTGGATCACTGCAAACGCTTATGCAGTTTTTCTTCGCTGAAATAATCAATGTGCCTAATTTACATGTCCCGCTTGACTCATGCTTATAGTCAACAACTAACGTCAACCACAGTTATAGCCTTATTTCCCTCGATTCCTTTATAGCACTCCAACGATAGAACCGTCGTAAATGTGAAAAACAGAGCTGCGCGCAACACTGGAATAGGTAAGTTGGAATGGCATGGTGCTAATCGCAATATGCCACCTACACATTCAACGACTGTGCGTTAGTAAGCAAAGCATCAAATGAATCTTTCCTTGCAGGCATCTAAGAAAGGGAATTCTTATCATCAAGATTTATTCTGAAAGTAACACTGAATACAAAACAAACTAGTGGCATGATGTGCGGTGTGGCAGATGGCCTTTTTACTCAATAGACATTATAAGGAAATTTCAGATTGAGGGTTACAGAGTTACATAGACCCATCTGTGAAAACGGTCACTTCCTGAAAACTTATTTTCACGGTTTCCCAAATCAGCAAGTTACCTTTCATCCTTTATGTGCGTGCTTTCTTGACATCTCTATTTATTAATGACAATGAATGATATCATATGACACCTAGCAATAAAAATGACTGTATTTAGTACCCAAGTCCCGAGAAGGACCTAGAAATTAAGAACTCCGTCTAACAAGGAATGCATGTTAAGTCGAAGTGGCCATTCTAGTTGGGATGTATACCATACTGAAGGGCAAAAAATGCTGTTTTCAAATCGGCCTCACTATCTGCCGAACATTTATATACGAGGAGTTATGAGAGCTTACCGGAGCAAAAAAAATGAATGCGCAAGCAGGACAAAAATAGCCGTAATACTTTTTTAAGCTCTTCAATGGGGCAGTGGTAATCATCTTACTTACTTAGATACTTAGATGGCCCGGCTTCACGTGACGTGCGGGCCCCAGCTCAGAAGTTTCCATTTTTCCCTGTCCCTCGCTTCTGACATCCACGATCTTCTTGGCTGACGTCGGTGGCTGCGTCCACGAGTTCCAGGTGCAAAAATCGTATCCAGCTGATTTCTCAGCTGGTCCATCCGTTCCACGAACACGTCTGCCCATCTCGTTGGAGGTCTTCCTCGGGGACGTTTAGCTTCGCGAGGAATCCACTCCGATGTTCTTGGTGTCCATCTGTCGTCTGTTCTTCTCATTATGTGACCGGCCCATCGGTGTTTGGCTTTCGCGACGTATTCCGCTGGGTCACGAAGACGGGACATTCTTCTCATATCCGTGCTGCGAAGTCCGACTAGATGTTGCTTGCGTCGGGTCATCTTCAGAAGACTGCGCTCGAGCGCTCTGTGGGTGGTCGTTAGAGCTTTCGGCGTGGCTACAGTGTCGGCCCAAGTCTCAGCTGCGTAACAGAGCGCCGGGAGAACGGTTGAGTCGAACAGGTGGGCACGAAGCTCCGGGTCCGTCAGTTGGTCGGTGGCTTCCTTCAGGGGCCCGAAGGCGGCCCAGGCTGCTCTTCTTCTCCTGATGAGTTCTTCCCTCAAGTCGTTCTCCATGTTCATCGAACGTCCGAGATACACGTAGGAAGACGTCTCCATAATCGGGGTGCCTTCCAATTCCATTTCTGCATCTTCGCAAAGGGCGTTCTTCATGAACTGAGTCTTCTTCCGATTTATTCGCAGTCCGATCTTCTTCCCTACTTCGTTTAGTTCCTTCAGCATCGTCTCTGCTTCGGTGATACTGCTCGAGAAGAGAACGATGTCGTCCGCAAAACGAAGGTTGGACAGGAATCTCCCATCAACTCGTATGCCTCTCTCGTTCCAGTCCAGTGACTTCATCACCCACTGCAAGGCCGCGGTGAACAGCTTCGGCGAGATTGTGTCGCCTTGTCGGACCCCCTTCCCGATTGGTATGGTCAGGGGGCGATGGAATAGCTGCATCGTCGTTGTACAGTCCTTGTAGCAGTCGGCTAACGTCCTCACGTAAGCTGGGTCCACTCCTTGATCGACTAGCGCAGACAGGATGGCGTTGGTTTCGACGCTGTCGAAGGCTTTCTCGTAGTCGACAAAGGTTAGGACGAGAGGCAGTCGGTACTCCCGGCAGACTTCTATGACCCTCGAAACGGTCTGGATGTGGTCCATGCAGCTGAATCCTTTGCGAAATCCAGCTTGTTCTTGGGGTTGGGCTTCATCCAGTGTCCTTGATATGCGAGCGAGGATAATCTTCGTAAAAAGCTTGTACAGCACACTCAGCAAGCATATTGGACGATAGTTCCGAAGATCCTCCCGTTCACCCTTCTTGAAGAGAAGGACGGTTCTTGACGTTCTCCACTGGTCGGGAATCTTCTCCTTCTGAAGGTAAGATGTCAAATGCGACGCTAGAATCTCGTGTAGACGGTGTCCTCCGGCTCGCAGAAGTTCGACGGAAAGATGATCTGGTCCTGGAGCCGTGGACGTCTTCATGGTCTGTATCGCGATACGCACTTCAGCAGGTAGAATTCGTGGTGGTACTTCTCCAGTGGGAACAACGGGCATCTGCACGGGTGTTGATGAGCGGAAGAGGTTGGTGTAGAAGTTCTTCGCGATAGATTCCATCTTGTATCGGGAAGAAGTCGGAGTCCCGTCTTCGTTCAGTAGTGCAGCCAGCGGTACGTGATATTCGCAGAGGTCCCTTCGGCACTTCTTGAGACTTCGTCTTCTTTCTGCTGCTTCCAGTATCTTGGCTTGCCTGTACTTCCTGAGATCCTCTTGCAAAGCTGTTCTGCAACTGGTGTTGGCAATCAGTCGCTCGAGATGAGTTGCATTCGGATCCTGCCTCAATGATCTTCTTCTTTCGAGCAATTCCTTGGTGGTCTTCGAGATGCGGTCCAAGTTCTTCTCAGAAGTCACTGAGGCGCATTCTCCGCAGGCTCGCAATCCTTTCAGAAGCCGGTCGTAGTCGTACGTTGGGTCCTCCTGGTAATCATCAGAGCACTTTATTCAAACAATACTCTAAAATTTAAAAATATCACACTTTGCTGCATTATTTGAAAGCAGTAAGATTTCAGCATCTTAATTTATCCAAAACGCGCATTAAATTTGGGTCCAAAAAACCCTCATATCCATAAACGTTCTGCAGAAAAAAAGCAGTTTTGGAATCAGCGTTTTGTGCCCTTTGAAAAGTCCACTTCGACTAAACAAGCTTCTCTTGTAAAGAAAAGGACGAAAAGGAGAATGTTCATAAACTTAGTTTTTCTTTTTACTATGAAAAATCACATTTTTCCCAACCATTATCAAAAAACACAAAAAACAAAACTATTACTGTCGAAAGAATCGCGATATTTTACGGACTTTGGTCCAGCTTGTTACTAAGATCTGGACGACGGGTTGTATTCCACGGTAACGAAGCTACATAGATAGGAAGAAAAGAGCATTGGGCCTAAAACTGAGGAAGGACCGAATTATGGGGTTTAGCTTGGCTGACAAGCTATAGAGAATCATGCGAGGTTAAGAAGACACCAAAGTGAGACTTTGTAATCAACAAAACGAATCATTAAGGCTCTGGGTGGGCGATAGTAATTGAGAAAATGAAAAAAATGGAAATGAAATTGATTTACACTGGCAAATGAGATACGTGACAAGAGATGGAGTACATGTTGTCAGTAAGCTACATGTCGCTTGGAAGATCAGAGTTGAATTGAGAGAAAATCGCGTTTTTTTTCATTTCTCCGCTTCGTTGTTGAGTACTTGCTTTCATCGTTCTTGCACTATGCATTTTGTTTTGGAGTAAGTCACAAATGTTATGAGATTATCACAAATGAAATGTCAGCGAGTGTTCAGTCCAAAATTGTCATGTACAATCGGTAATTCTTAATATTAGGTTGTCTCATAATTAATGCACGTTTTATGAGTTAACTTCTGACCAAGATAACTCTTTTCCAAAACCATCTTTTTGAGCGCAATAAAAATCACTGCGAACAACAAACCTTTGACTATAGAACGCATGCTTTTGTTGGATCGCAGCCACTTTAAGAAAGATTTTATAGCATAAAAAATCCCGAACCTTTGTTTAGAAACCTAAACTTTGAGAGAGCTTAACTTTCGCTTAAATGTACTAGGATCGCGCGGACTTTGCTCATTATATAGCCGATGGTCGGTTGTGCAATGGAGTGAAGTTTGAATTTTACGGCATATTTCTGTGAGAAAATTTTGCAAAAAAACTGGAAGTACCCATTTTTTTCAGTATTTTGGAAATCCCAAAAAACTGCCTTTTTGGGATTTTTGAATTTTTCTCTTCCAAAAGACGATGAAATGTTGCCGTTTTCCTAGCATTAGTTATACTAGGTCTACTCTACGTGAACATAGCGAAATTTGTACAGTCGCTTTTCGCATGAGATTTTTATGCGGCTTAGATGGGCCTTAGCTACCAGCCAAGTTTGAGACAAGATTTCTCGACTCGGAATTTGCTAAAAATTTCATTCTGACAAGTGTTTTGTACCACAGGGCTTCGCGATCATTACGCATATTTTGTGGAGAAGATCCGTCTACTTTTCATGGATTTAGAGCAAGGAGAGTGAAGGGAAAGAATTTCATAATTTGATCACTTGTCTTTGAAGGCATGGAACTTCGGCTTCAACAAAGATTTGCGAAAACGAAAACACATGTTAGAAACTAGAGGAATTGGGCTTTTCGACGCTATAAGAGGTTTTGAAGAAAAATGTTTTCTGTTTGAAAATCAGCCTTCTCAAAAAGAGGTTAGAAAAACGTGCATTAATTATGAGACAACCTAATATTATAAAAAGCTGTCCAGCAGAAGAGTAAACGAAAGTATTCGAAAGAAATCAGCTCCAAAACGATGAATACCACTAATTACTTTACCTAATAAGAATTTACTGTCTTATACAAAAAGCTTGGAGAAACTAGAAGTTCATGCAAATGAGTTTTCCTTCTCAAAAATAAGCCTCTTGATCAACTTCCGAAATATCGCCTATGGTTTATGCATTTCGAAAATAAACAAAAGCATGACTTCGAAAAAGTATAAAACGCAGTATCTTGGGCTAAAAGCAATATGATCCCTTGCGACGTGGAATTTTGGAGATCTGTCTGATTTGACATACGGTTATAATACCCGAAGAAGAGTAAGATTAGAAATTTACTTTTTCTAGGTTTCTTAATCCACGACCATAAAATCAAAAGAGAAGATAGAACTAGAAATTTTCGGCAGCACCTTAGGAGATTTAAAAGCTGAAAAAATAGTTTAAGTTGTTTGCCTCAAACAGCTTCGTTGACGCGATATAGCAGCGATGATTC